TATAGGCACCCCAAAACGTAACCACAACTGAACACGATTTCATAAAAGGATGGTTTGTCTAATTGCAGTATCCTAGGTCAATGTGGACGTTGTGTTCAATCTATGGCATCCATCTTTTTATCTTTGTACAAAACCCGGCTGAGGTTGTGGTGGTAATTTAAAATCGTGATTCCTGATTATGCTTGATCTTCTTTTTATGACATCAATATTTCCGGGCCTAATCCAAACAAAGTTAAAGCAGACAAACATAATTGAAAACAAAAAGCTACCATGAAGAATTAAAACATGTAAACATTGTTATTTTTCTAATCTTTCCTTTAAAAGTGGAGCAGTAAAATAATTTGCATTTATCCTTTTTTATTAAGATTCGTGTTCCTTAAGATTATAAAGCCTCGATTTGTACTGTGGTTTAATTAATTTTGGTCTAAACTATTTTAAACTGTGGTCTAATTATCTCTACTAATCTTACTTATTTCCTATAATCAATGACAAAATAAGAGTAAATAAAATAACGTCATAGTTCCATAGTTTATATTTAACCAGCTGTTAGTTAAAACAAATAATATTGCTCTAAAACAAATCAAAGAATACAAAGATTGCTTTAAAAAATCATTTTAACATCCTAGTATTTTACTATGTATATTTAATTAATCTGTCATCTTCTTACATTAGAATTGAACGTATCAGTGATTAGCATTACACATATTATAAATAAGTCAACCCTAAGTATGTCTTTACATTTTTATCCAAATGCTGAATTTGTGACACAAAAGCTGAATGTTTACAGCTGTTATGTTAAGCAAATTATTTTATGCCAAAAGCTAGTTTAGAATCTTAGCGTCGGCTGCTAGACTTTTTAAAAATTAAAACTTAATTTCTAAAAAACTGGGACCCTAAACTAAAATTATGGCTTCGACATTCCCTAGTTTTCAAGATTATCTTTCTTTCAACACAAAAATCGTGAAAATCCGTCGAGTGGTTGATTCAGAATCGTGAAATAAAAAAACACACTTTTGTTTTAATATTATAGATGTGCATGTATTTTAATAGTACGTTCATAACACTTTACAAATCAGTAACTTTGTTAATACATTTCAAATTTTTAAATTTAAATCAAGTACAATATTAACTGAGCGTTTTTTACATAGAGATAGCTATTTATCTTTTCTTTTAACATTGGCTTTGGATAATGCAAGTAGATTTTAAACATATTGTAAAATCATATGTATTTTTGATGTTGGATGCGTGGTTCAGTTCAGTGTTCCCTATATCTGCTGTATGTAGATATACTTTTATTAATTTACTATTAGTGTTAAACTGGATACATAAACATAACTGTAAAACATCCATCCCTTCCATGTATCCCAACCTTTTGCTTCTGCTTCGTACAAATTAGCTGTTGTCATAAATTTAAACAATTAATAGTGCCGCACCCTGTTGGTAAACCTATTAACTTTTAATTCTTGATCATCACAGAATCAAATTGTTTAGTTGAAATAGCTGTTAAGATTCTTTTGTTCCTTTTAAATATAAGTACTAATAAGGTTAACATGGGGAAACTCCAAAGTCACTGGGGCGGCGCCGTTTGGACGGATCACGAAATTGATGGTGTATAGACCTATTCCATGAAATTTTACACGTATGTACCAAGTTTCGTGGCCATCGTTCCAGCGGTGTCTGAGATTATCTCTGCCAAATATACAAACCTGCAAACAAACCAACATCCTCTTATGAAACATATATATAGAGCGTAGGACCTTTTTCAAGGACCTCCTTTGTTCGCAGTTCAGGCGTTTACGATTCTTTGAAAGAAGAAGGAAAGTAGTAAAACGAATGTAAGATGTAACTTTCGTACACAACCTAATGTGAATTTATCTGACAGTCGTGTCCTTAATTCTTTGAATAATCAAAACATATATATAATTTGAATTACCGACCAAAATGATAAGACAACTTTAAGGTTCTTACAATTGTATTTGTTTAGGCGTTTAGGTGAATTGCATTGTGTTAGTTATTACATACTAGCTGGCCCGACAGACTCCGTCCTGTCCTAATGTTGTTTTATATCAAATTTATTCATATTCATATTCATATTCGTTCATTTTCAAGATGAGCTCGTTTGCATGGCTCAATCACGTCCTGGTTGAAGTTCGTTCTCTACGCTCACTCACCTTTAGGTTGAAGTTCGTTCGCTACGCTCACTCACCTTTTGGTTGCAAATTAGTTGTTGTCATAAATACCATAGATTAATATTTAAGATCTTCCAAAAACATCCCTTGATAAAAAATATTTATAAAATATACAATTATTGCAAAAATACAAGTACACAATATATTAATGACAAGAATAAATATCCATAATGTATCGACGTGTTTTGCAGGAAGTAATGAACAACATTAGATTGTGCAAATCATTGTAAGGATTCGACACAGAAATTTAATTGTGCGTTTTAAACATTGATGTAAAATATTTCATGTTAACATTTTAATAAAAAGCTTATTTTCACTGCAAGAAAAACGTTTCGGTTCAAACTAAACTACATGCAGTTAAAATCATTATAGTATACAAGTATACTGCCGAATAAAGAAGGCAAACCAATAAACGAATCAGCTGATTATAAAACATTGAAAACAGCTGATGTTTTCTGTCTCTTTTGGCCCGGCTGGTTATCTTGTAGCGACACGCAAAACTTATGTAAACATAGTCCCTGATCAGTTATATTGTTGTGACGGTTAGTGAAAGCGAATTCTTCATTGTGCGGTTGTTTCATGTGGTTTTATGTGATACAAATATGTTACTGCGACAAATATGTGACTAGTATACTTTACTGCGACGATTTATTTTCTAGTGCAATATTTTCAGCATGTATATCTAAGGTAAGTAATGAAGTAAACTAAACAAATTTAACTCACTGTTTTTGATATCATGATTCATGCATTGATAGAATATAGGCCTAACGTTTGGATAAAACTCATTTCACCCCCATTCACAGTTTACAATTTCACCTCGTTGAATAATTTCTGAAAATTATTTAGGTACCGGTATCCAAATAGGTAGTTGAAATTTAGGGTAGTAGGCCTACTTATGTATTAATTCTACAAACTTGAAGTAGGTTAATCAGGATCTTGTGTTATTTTCTAAGCAATATTGGTGTAGAAGTAATTGAAACATGACGTAGGACTAAACCGATGATAAATTTATTCATAAATGAGTATGAAAACTAGTTTCAGCACGATAAAACTACATACATCTGTCTATATAGAGAATGAAAAAATCGAAAGTAGGATCCGGCATAGGTTAAACGTACTCTCATAGGTATATTACCGTTATTGATTAACTGAACACAGTTTTAAAACTCCAGATCAATTTCGCCCGGCTTAGTAAATGATGTTATTGCCATTTACAGTACCTTTTCCGTTCATGTTATTTAGCTTACTTAGCTTGTATAACCAAATAAAGCTGTACGATTATAAACAAATAGCATGTTCTCTGTTATTACAGCTTAACATTAAAATACAAAAATTGTTAAGTCCACAATCAAATAGCTTGCAACTAACTTAAAACAACAGGCACAGCATTTTTATGTAGGACACGTTATTACACTCGCACTGGACAAATTCAATGGTGCTGGACTCAAACAAAAAAAAATGTATTAGGCCTAGAGAAATGTTGTATAGATTATTTTTGTAGGTAGCGTTAAAACACACGCCTAGTTTGTAGTGAACTGATAGTAAAGTTTAAAATCAGCATTGCAGTTTCAGTTGTAGACCATGAATAGGGCTACCTGACATGGTTCCCGACGTCCAGTCATTGAGAGCACAACCACAGAAAACATATTACTAGTAGTATGTTTTCTGTGGCACAACCGAACCAGGAAATTCGACCAATATTCAAAAACCACGGTTCACATTGGTTATTAAACTGCGTGCTGAAAATGGAAAGCAAACAATTCGATAAGTACTTGGTAGTGATGATATCCACTCCATCAGTGAAACGTTTATTGTTTTGAATGTAAAGTTTGATACATATGTACCTAAATAACAATTCTCCTTTGAATTAAATAAGGAGTAACATTGATAGAAATACCTTAACTACTCCTAATGCGGACGTTATTAGGGATCTCTTCATGAAAACAATTGAAAATGTATGGTAGACCATCTGTCAGAATTAGAGTAAATTTATATGCTATCTTCACTACCCATACTCTATATGTTTAATACTTTATTTAGAACACCTTCAATTAAATACAGCATTGTTTACAATTATTACTAATACCCTTGGATACTGGAGTAAACGTTTAATTCTAGTTCTTGTACAGTATTCAATACGCTTGAGATCTACTCACGCATTAATTTATATAATTAAACTGAATAAATACATAGACTTTATGGGGGTTCGTAAAAAAATAATTTTATTATTATATTTAATTTTGTGTTTTTCTCTTTTTGCTGTGCTATCCAACGTCAACCTGTTCATAGTAAATAATTAAAAATGAAAATTGTTACACTATTAATCGCAATCACTTAATTTACAATGTGCCCGGTGAAATTAAAAACTATAATTTGCCGTAAAATATTTCCAGAGGTCGGTGGGCGGGAAGGATGTTTTTCAAACTTTATGTTATTTATTTCGCACTAACTCATATTAAATAATTTTGCGATGTAATTACCAACCTACCGCATAGGTACCCAAACAAAGCATTTACATACGCTTACTTATGATTGCCTTTCAATGAAACAAAACTAAAAAGTGGATTTATATATTTAATTTCGTGTTTTCCCTATCCAATGTCATCCCGTTATCACAACTAATTAATATTTTTAACAATACATTCAAACGTGTAAAATAATCTCTTACTCTAATACACTTACCAAAAATCACAGTTGGCGAGACAATTTACAAGTTTTTCCTGTATAATTGAATCCATCGATTGCCGTGAAAGATTCGTAGAGATCAGTGGGCGGGAAGGATTCTTTTCCCTGACGGGCGGGGTTGGCCGAGCAGTGCTGCTGCCTAGCGGAGGGCGTTGTGACTCCTGCACATCGATCGCCTGCGCATGTGTCCTCAGCTAGCCCGGGCCATCGTGTCATTCTACTCGGGACATCCTCGCTTCGTCCAAGTATCCTATGGGGGTTCCGCGACCCCGGTGTTGGCAGTGGGGTGGTCGACGCCACTATTGAAGGCGCGAGATGGCCCCAGCCGCGAGACGTTAGCGGTTTCTTCAACATGGTCGGCCGGTATGCTGTTTCGTGAACCATGGTGTCTTGTGTACTCTGGGGACTGTTGCTGCTCTTCAGGAGTGTCCCGGAGGTGGTCGCCGCGGCTGCTAAGAGAGGTAGGAACGTGATGTGGTCCAGCCTCCACAACAGGTCGATCACGTGTCGAGTAGATTAGCCATTTGTATAATACATTACATCAAGTGTTCGCACCATAACCTACGTGTTCTCGTGTTGCTACAATGGAGGTCTGTTACAGCTGGTAACGTGGCTTGTGGTGTTGCGTGGTAAGGTTCCGTATGTGTTGGAATTGAAACGTATACATACGTTGGATGTATTAAATTTAACAAATGAATATCAGTAGAGATATTTGTTATTTGATACCCTGTATAATTCATCTGTATATTGAAAATTAAGTACATATTAAAATACTATTCCAATAATAAACGTTTTTGTATAAAAAGGGTGATAATAAACGAAAAATGTTTAAATCCGAAAATGTATCGTTAGATGTTTAAAATATTATAGATATTTACATAGTACTTAACGATATTTTAAGTTTTCAATATTGCCAATAATAGTTTTTAATTCAACGTTTCGATACAGTAGATGGAGCTTAGTAAAATTATGAATAGTTATTGTATAAAATATTCGTAAAACTACGAAATACATTTTCATCCATAGTTATAAATCAGTTATTTAGGAATAGTTACTTGTTAATATTACTCATACAGCAAAGTCTGTAAAATAAACAAAAATTCACACCCACCAGCGTTTGCAGATTTCTACCTATAAAAGGTAACTTAATTAAAAATGGCTTATAATCAAAAGAAACATTTACAACTAAATTCATGGCATCAAGACAGAAATTGCTGCAATAATAACAATGTTTTAAAAATACATGAAAAAGTAACAATTATAAGGTAGTCTTTATTCATTTCTAAGTCGTATTTTAAACAAGTTTCAAGCTAAATAAAATGAAGAAAGTGCTGTGAACATTCGTAAAAACAGCCCTTAAATTTTCACAAGCGTTTTACATAATTTATGCCTTTGCGCTGTTTGTAACAGAGAGACGTATTTCGGAGAGGCGAGCTGTTCTGAAATGTGTTAAACTACTTTCCATTCAAGACTTATAACTCTCAATTGATGCTATATGGTTTATTTTAAAGAAAATTTACTTCGTAGAGACAATATTTAAATACAATATTGCCTTTATTGAACATGAGTTACAAATAAAAATAGTTTTAAGCAACAGAATCAACAATATTTTAACAATTAATAAAAATGGAAGTTAATAGCAATATGAAATCCGAAATGTATACTATTTAATTTAAATGTATTTGTATTGGGTAAACAATATAGAAAAGTATGAATCCTATGACAAAGTTGTGAGTGCAAGTTAAAATATTTTTGCCTTTTACATTAAATATTATGATATCAACTTATAATTGAGATTCGAAAGAGTATCTGAATCAGAATATAAAAATATTCTTTTATACAGTTTAATTCATAATTATAACTAAATAGCCTATCACTTAGTAAAACCTATTTTGGCAACGACAAACTATTCGAATTATTACTTTAATAATTTTGTATACCTACACAAACTGTGAACTTGCTTAGTGAATTTAATTCAATTAAAATCCGATCCCCCTTATAAAACGAAATACAATAATTTGCCAACTATAATGGTCAACCTACAAAAACAAAATAAATGATACACGTACAGTTTAAATTTACTTTTAAAGAAAACAAAATAATTAAATATATTATAAATTTCAAATATCTGGAACTAAAAGTCCTTTAATTAAATTAGCAGTGAAACCCCTTTGGTATATTAGCCATTACCTAAATGCCAATAAACGGTTAAACACATAGGTTCAACTCCTTTTAAAAGCAGTTTTAGATCCATTCTGGCGCCCGACGGTAGTCCCTTAGATGTGATTGGGCTTATTCCGTCAGGTTTAAGTATCCTAGGGAATATTGGAATTTCGAATAGTTGTTTTAATAGTCGAAGTTTTAATTTTGTATGGATCGGAACTCATCGTTGTGATATTTTTTTATCAAGTGGCTATTTCAGCCATTTAATTTTTTTTGCGTATTCTATGCTTTAATTTAATTTTCCATTTGCATTATGTTGGCTAATGTACGAACGATTACAATGCGGATACAGACAAATAAGTAAGTTTGAACCGAGCAAAACGAAACAAAAATCGTTGAGGGGTTTTCACATTTGTACAGGCCTAACATTAAGCAAAAGACTTTTGGACAAGTTCAAGAAAAAAGGGGGTTCTTACGTGTTGAATAATAGAACATTTGCAAATAAACATTACTAATCGATAATCTTTTACAGATAGTATTTTGTTCTTAATTATCGGTAGGTTGGGTGATCTGAATATTGTAGATCTGATATCTATCGAATTATTTCTTACTAGTTTCTGCCACATTCACATAAAAGGACAATGCCGAATCATAGCTATAAACCTTCGAAAAACTGTACGCATTTTTATTCACCTCAACATTGATTGCCTGGTAGCAAATCCAGCGTAATAAAATTGGAACACGGTTATTGAAAACAATAAAATAAAGTGTGCCAATACACGTGATATATTCGCCGATATTTCCCTGGATGATTGAGGGTTTAAAGTATCGAGATGTTTACGGCCGGGATGCATGTTAAACTGTAAATCCTCACTTTGGCGTCGCGGGGCTGGGACGGCCCGCGTGGCGACCGCGACCCAGCACAACGCGTCGATTGTATGGTTTTAGCGACAACTTTGTTTGTTTATTTCACTTTTGAAATCGAATTGTTTGTTTGCGTTATCCGATTACATTTTTAGTTCGATGTCAAAGAGTTTAGAATTATTTTTTGTTTTGACACCAGGATAAAATGCTCTTTATACAACTGCCCTGAGTTACTTCCCTCTTACCCCATCAGGTGTCATGCGAGTTTTGATATGATTTTATAGAACAATATTTTTCCTTTAATTTTGCATATACTAATATGCAATACACTTATATAACTACTTATATACTTATATTTAATTATGCAGCCTACTGGTAGATTTAATAAATCCCCATCTTAAACTTATACATGGTAGAAATTTGTCCCAATTTGTTTTTAAGTGTTTCTGCAGATCTAATATTGATTTTTCAGAGCAATGTCTATCCAGAAAAGTAGCTCTTTAGTAAAGTTTCATTTGCGGATTTGTATTTATAGCTCCTTTATACAATTAAAATCTACGAAAAATATAATTCACTTAATTTTTACCTGTTGCAGAATGCTGAGGTATCATAAACTCTTAAGTATTTGGATTACTCACCATAAATACATGCGTTAGCGCGTGAAAGGCTCTTCACAGTTTGATCCATTTTTCAGCCGGACCGTTAGATTTAGGACACAAACTAATTTCTTCATGAACCATCCCATCCAGTGTTAGGGAATTCTTGAAGAGCAATTAAAACACCAAGGCGTAAGGAAGTCCGAAGTTAGTTGGTATAATGTATAAGTTCTTATTATGCGCTTTGTTTCATTGTATTAAAAACTAACAGATACCTAGGGTAAACTATTACGTTTTTAACCTTTTGATTATTAAAATGTTTAAACATGTTAAAATGCTCTGAGTAGATGGTAAATGTGTTAATTTTCATTGATTTCCTTGTATAGGTAGTTCAATTTATGTGCTATAAATTCATAGTTTTTAATTTTAAGTGTATCCAAGGCTGATTAACTCCTGATACTGTGGATTTTGATGATCAGGGTCTGACTTATTTTGAATGACAATCGTTCACATTGATACAGTTTCAAGTAACAAGAGCGTTTTGGGTAACACAGTGTTGGGTAGCACAAGAAAGAGCAAAGCATATACAATAAATGAACAAAATATTTTAACAATTTCTCATGAAGAAATTTGCAAAGACTAGACTTCCAATACATGGAGAATATTTGTGTAGCTGAAAATAACATTAAACTTTTAAAAACCAATACGTTTTCGTATCCAATTTATTTTTAATCAAAAGTTTGAGTGGTGTGGACCACTTTCCTGTAAACGCGCTTAATGTCCCCTCTTACAAAATGCCGCTGGCGTTGATGCAAAAGTTTAGCTTCGTTATAATACTTCTATCAACATCCTTACTCGGTGTAGGCCAATGTTGATATAATTAAAATTAATAACACAGATTTAATTAAAGTTCGTACTTTATTTAAAATTGTAAAAAGAACAGACACCATAAAATCTCTAGAGATTAAAAACGAATATTCAATTCAATCAAGTCATTTTGAGAAGTACATATAATTACATTGCATCAAACCAAAATTACTAGAATAATTTTGTTCAGTTTTTTAATCAAGTAATTAAAAAGTAATGCGATGCTAAGTACAAAGTGCTTTAATTAATGCCTTAAAACAAAAGCTTTTAATTTCCCTTAAAAGCACTCAATACATGAATTAGCGAGTATTCAAAGCTTTAAAACACCGCAATTAGTGTTCAAAATTACTTCTAATTCCTCAAACGTAGTCAAATCAAATAACTGTTAACTGTGCCATGGCTAATAGTCAATATCAATAGTTTTTATGGTATATTAAATTTTTGAGTAGAAAATATTGGTTATTTAGTGTGGCGAACTGCAAATGGAACTGTTACATTCATGATCAGTAGGGATCCGTCAAACTCATTCACCGAAAACTCATGAGTTTGATATTTTCACTAAAAAGATTGATTGGCATATTACAACATCACCATGTGACCTGTTATACAACTTCTATTAAAGTTTATAACTTTATTATTTACCGAACCACACGGAAGCAATCATATTTATCACCTATTAGTGATCGAACGAACCATAGCATTTGGCGAAGAGATATTTCCTTTGTTTAAATAATTTATTAAATAATAAATTATGAATTCATAGAGCTTTTAACCTGCTGTACTTGTTAATATTTTAGGCTAGTTTCAACCATAGTTTTTATACGTTTCCTTAAATAGAGCTTTAGTGACTTCTCTATCTAATAGCCAAAGTTGCTATTTCGTATTCTTACAATGTCTGAGTCTGATTCACAAGTAAGGGTTTATTCTCAGAAAATTGAATACGAAGGAAATTCGCGTTATACATAGCAAAC